CGACTGAAACCCTGGTACATCCATGTTAACAATCTCTTTCTTGGTCAAGGAAATTGTATGACAACGTTCCTGTGTACAAAAGAATCATCATTTTTGGCCAAGAAAGGGATTATTAAGATTAACAATCTCTTTCTTGGCCTCATGATAAGTTAGCTATTTTATTAGTTGAATCTGGCTTTTTTGAATTCAAGCTGTTCCCAGAGCTCAAAAATATAAAAAATATTTTAAGATGTAGAGGATATTCAGAGGAACGTGACGAATGTTCTAAGTAATATTCCAACTACGGCTTTAAAAAAAGTTTGGAGGTTTTTGAATCCAAGGTATGTATATTGATGAGAGAGATCACTTTGAAAAATAAAATATAACAATTTATTACGTGAGATATTTGTGTTTTTTTTGTTGCTGCCGGAAACATTAATGTTAGACCATAAAGATATTTAAAGAATGTCACAGTTGTATAGAGTTGATAAATGGGAGTTCCAGTGGTTTTTGTCACCGTTAGGTCGATTTGTTCTCACAATTACGCAAAGATAACGTAACGGTTGGGAAATACACGGAAAAAATGCGAGATCGGTTTCACCGAACATCGGCATCGAACGTGCTCGGGAATATTCAATTTTTCGGTCTGCCGCGTCGCATGATTGCTGCGCGTATCTTCCGCGAGAGATATAAATCGTCTCGGAAACACCGATATAACATATAATCAAATACGAAATTCCGACCGATTTTTTAATTCGATGTAAGAATAAATAAAAATTGTTCTTAAGAAAAATGTGGAAAAATCAATTTCGAGTTTGGACAGTCAATAGAAAGACAATTATTTGAAGAAGTAATTCCTTCTTTCTTTGAGTTATAAAAATTAAGGACCATGAAATTTTTAGAAGTCTAAGAAGAATTTTTAACTTTCTGACATTTAATTTGTTTGCAATCTAAAGACTATAAAGCATACAAAAAACTTAAACAGTGAAACGTAAGCAATAAATTAATTGGCCAATCACAGTAAAAAAATCATAATGTCATAACGTAATTAGTAGCAAAGCCAATTATTGATGCTTACACATTTTACTGCTGAATTTTTTTGTGTACTATAATCTTTAGATTATAAAAAAATTAAATAAGCCAGAAGAGTTAAGAGTTCTTAGTCTTCCAAAAGTTACTTTCTTCTCTTATTCTTTTCATACCGAGTTGCTCGAATCCCTCGACAGATTCTCAAACGGCGCGTCCAGTATTATTCGCGCGATCGTGGAATGAATTATGCGAACGTTTTAGCAAAGAGTGTGCGAAAACCCGCGGGCGGGTTCGGCAGCCCTATGATCGCTTATTATCCTGCTGAGTTACTGATACCCCGCGGAGTTGGTCACGATGATCCTCGACCAGTCCTGCATCATCTTGTCTGATTTTTCTTTCGCTTTCCATCACCACGTTCTCGCCTTTGGATGCTATTATCCTGTGTTGCCCGAAAGCAATTTTCTCCGTCGCTTTCTCCAATCGCTTTTGCGGCCTCCCTTGGCTCGCCGCACGACGTTTAAAGGGTCGTTAAAATCGGACGGAACTTGTGTGGTACTTGAGCGTAAAATGAGTATCTCAAAAATATTGTGGTCGAAGTAGATTAAATAAATAGAAGACTGAATTATTAAAAGTAATAAGTTATATCGAAATCAATATCTTTAAATTGATGAAAATATCTTTAAATAAAGAGTCATCAATTAATTGTAAGTGAATAAATAATTATTTATTAAAAGTTTATTTATACGCGGAATTTATTAATGCGGAATTTAGAACCATACGATGTCGCAAACATCTCAGAAAGTTCTTTAGTTATGGAAGTAACTCGCGTTAGTTGGTAATGAAGCAGAGTGTCCCAAGTTTTGTCGATGCAGCTGGAAAGTCGTGCGTCTCGCATAGTTAAAAGTTTGAAAGACTTATGCGCAAAGTGTGAAACGTGAAATTCTGTCTAGTTCAACGCTCGGCCGCTCGTTTTACATCGAGCGTGTTTTCGTGGCTGCTTGCTCGCTTGTCGAGTTGATAATTTGGCTTTCTGCCTTCTACTATTAAATTCATAACGTCAAATTATATTTAACTTGAACAATTTTTAATTATTTCTATAGGTCGCCTACTCCTCAATATGTCATTAATTTAATTAAAACAATGGAATTAATCAATTTAACTCAAGAAAATTAAATTCGACTCAAATTTAGTTTATTATTTATTACATTGAAAAAATAATAAATTTTAATAAATATTTGTTTGAACAGTTCCAAGTAAATATTTACTAAATGTAAATGTGTATTTATTGGATACAAAAATCATTCATTTAACTATCATTTCTTTTTATCGAATAAATATTTATTTACTGTAAGTAAATGTTTACTTAGTATTTTTTACAGAAATGTGTATTAAGATTTAGACAATTTTTTATGAGTGCATGTTAATATGCATGAGTGTTAATATTGTTGTATGTATGTTAATATTGTTTAGTATAAATCAAGCGATAACTTCTGAAATGGATTAATTTACATTTTGACGCACAAGGAAGTAAAAAAATAACAAATTATTTAACTCAACAGATTGAGTTACCAAATTTTGATATTAATGTATCTCACGACAGTTTCCTTCGTAATACATATCAAAACACAAAAATTTATCTCGTTTATCCCATTCTATTAATGCAATTTAAGCAAACGTTAGTTTCGATAATCTGATTTCAATCTGCACGATGTTGCTTACAGCAACGTACATTTTTCACCGCTGAAAAAAGAAATAAAAAGAAACGAACGCGTACAGCGCGATTGATACGCACATTTCTAATCAAGTAAAATGAGAGAAACAATGCGGTCTGGCTGGAAGCCAAATTTGCGTAAACAAAATTGAATTCGCTCTGAAAATCAGGTCGCCATATATCTCATTGTTACAGCTACCTCTCTTGTCCCTTCGTTCCTCCCAAAATCCAAACAGTATCATCACAGGAAAGGTCAACCGGAAAACTTCCCTTGTTGTTCCGCTGTAACCGAAAAGTCTGGCGCCGGTATGACGGCGGTCCAACAGTGCATCCTGTTCAGAGGACGAGCGCCAGTATTCTTTCACCTCCGGCGCGATGTGCACCGCGTCTATTCTTCTAGTCATCTTCTAGTCTTCATCTCGGGATTGAGAGATATTGTCAAATTCATCTTTTGTTCGCGAGTAGTTCTCATTTAGCAAACTCCACTCGCTCTCGTTATCGTAATATCAACTCGCGATTCTCATTTTTATTTAATTTTAACTGTACGTATAACTCATTGCGATAAATCACTCGTCAAATCGGACGAATCAAAGGCAACGACTTAGAACATAGAATGCTTTGATCAATTCGATAGATAGGAGGAATTTCTACATGTAACTTTGAAAATTTTCCAATATATATAAAAGCAAAAGCAGATTACAAAGTAAGTAAACCACACACACGCGTCGTTTGTTTTGTGGATGGAATAAAAGAAGTTAAACGTTTTAAAGCTCACGACGTTTGACGATAAAAGTTTCTGTGGTGACAAAGGAGCAAGATCGGAACGAGCCTTTCTATCTAGTTATTTTCACGTACCGCGGTAGCGTTTTGTCAACCACGAGAGTATCGAACGAAGAAGTTCTTCGAGATGTTGAAGTTCCGAGTCGCATCCGGCCAACGGAAGTGCGATAGCATGGTGAGAATCTTAAACGTTTGGAACTTAAATCTCAACTCGATATGCGGAGAGACGTCGTCGGTAGAAAGTTAATTTTTCTAGATTTATTATAAGAAATTCCTTATGAATCCTTCATTCAATTTTGTTCAATTGCAATGTCAACAGCATTGTCGAAAGCTCGACTATTGATGCGATTTTTTTTTGTTTTACATAGGTTTGGTTTTCCAGTTCTCTAGTTAATTTATGAGACTTATGCTCGTTTCTATTAATGTAGATTAACTTTAGTTTCGGTTCAACTTATTTTTTTTCTAATTTTTCCCAGACAATAAAAAGTCCAAATTTGAGATATAAGATGTTTAAAAAAATATTTTTAATACGTCTTTTTGATGTTTTTAAGATATCTTTTGTTTTTTATTTTGGAAATGTGTGTTGTCGGAGCTAGAAAAAGATAACGAATTATTTAAACCGAGATTAAAATTAAGCTATAGATAGAAATAGACATCAATCTTACAATAATATACAAATTTTTTAAAAATTTAAACTGATGATTTTGTAATGTGTAACTCTTAAAGTTACCATTACAAAGCCATCAATGACTGATCATAGCTAAAAAATACAATTTTTTTCATTGTCATCAGGTTAAGTGATTAAATCTAAACTATAAGTTAAATAAGTAATCCGCCACTTTTTTAACCTTTGTAGCATTAAATCCAAACTATGAGTTAACTAAATAATCCGCCACTTTTTTAACCTTTGCAGGATGGGAAATCTATAATGACGGTGAAAGTAGTGTCATTACTCATTTTGAGGCAAAGGATATAATGAAATAATGAATTATAAGATTATATTTTCTAAAATTATAAATCTCTAAAAGTTAATATACATGGATGCTTTTGCGATTTATGAAAAAGTTAATAATCTTAAATGACAAATATAGATATATAGTTATTAACATTTAATATAATATTATAATATAAAT